TGCTGGTGCATGTCCCCTGTATTGATCCTTTCGATAGTAAGTAGGTACTACGCACATTGCATGGAAGGTTTATACATACCTACCTACCAACCTTGAGAACCAAACACGTATAGATAGACCTGTGTTCAACGATCCTAGAACCTTTTCGAGTTTCAAAAGCTTGTAACTTCGTCCTGTCTTGTATCAGTGATATTTCAGTTTTCTTCTCGATGACTATTGTGTTTACATACTGATCTACTCTGCAAAACTGGTATCGTAATGTATTCTTCACGAATTACTATCTCATATTGACTGGTTCTCGTACGCATCTGATATTAAAACTTTAAACTTTTAATTGAACTTCACATCGTTAATAATCGAATTATTCTAATTTATCATATTATAAATACTTATCGGAACTTTAAAATTCAAGTCTAGGAGACTACAAAATTTATTGCATACAAAATAATTATCCTAGTTCATTTAATTTAAAAATCGATATGCGCAACGGTTTCGAAGAAAGTGGCTTGTCACACTTTATGTATTTCAATCTATATACTGCGTATTGTTAATGCACTCAAGTAGCCTTACCACACATACCTTAGCAATCAAAAGATATATGTAACTCTTATAGCATAAACACCCCTTATTAAAATTACAAAATTTTAAGTTCCTTTTTCTTCAATTCAATCAAGTAAATATCATAAAGATTTAAAATTTGTAATAAGAATTTTTTACTTAAATTATATACAGGCTGTTTTAAGTTTCTTTAGCCAAACGTTGCCAGTATTTTATGGATATAAATAAGAAAAAATGTTATGTAAACATAGATTCAGAGCTTTATCAAATAATTACTAAAGAAAAATGAAAGGACTAAAGGTCTAGAATATCACTCGTTTTCTCACTACTAAAGTAGAGTTTTATGTGTGACTAAATCTGGAAAAAAGGATTTAACAATAAGTAAGTAGTTTATACTCAGATTCATTTGAAATGTGCGCAACTTGATTCCCAAAAAATGTAGTATTATATTTTCTCTATTTTTTCACAAAAAATCACCTACTAGGATTTAAAGAAAAGATTCGTATAAAAGTATTCACTTTGATCATCTATTTTAGAAACGGATATTTGGGATTTTGTAATTTTAATAAGAGATTTGTAGTTAATAAAATTCAGGTATGTAATTTATTAATTTTTGATATAACATTCATGACCTTCTGCTGTTGATGAAGCTTAGTAAGATATTGAAGAAACACAGTGATATGCTCCAAATTTTATTTTGAAAACACGTGATTCACTATAGTTAATTTTAACTTTATATCATTATAAGTGTTCTAATCTTATTTGATGTTAAATCGGTAATGTTGGTAACGACATGAAAATGATAAGAGTACTCGCGAAGACCCAAACCGAGTGACACAAAAATACACAGAATATCAGATTTATTTTATACCACATCTATGATACAGCACGGAAAAGGGGGCGACACCTAAAATTCAACCCGCAATCTACATTACCATCCGCATGTAGCGTCACATTGAACACCTTTCGCCGACTGTTGATACGTTGATATCTGTGCATACAAGAAAAATAGACATATGCATGTATGTACATATTTCCTTTTTCTTCCATCATTACTTATTCGTGTGTCTTCTTATTGTTAACTTCTAATTTTATCTATTTGTTTCTTTTATACGTCTTATTCTTGTCTACATAGTCATTTGTTTCATTTTTCTAGCATTTAAATACATATTTAAATAATTATTCACATGCATAAGTATTTATAAGCTTTATTTATTATAATTTTATTATAAATTGTTGTCTTATTCTTTTTGGAATTAGTCCTCTTCAGATTATACCATTAATTACTTTAGTTGAAAGAAGATATGAAAATAGCAGCATACATCTGTTATACATATTCTATAGTTAAGTAATTTAAAATACAATCTTTGAATACAATCATTAAGTTCCTTTTTGATCAAATTTCTTCAATTGCAATTATTTTCTGAAAATGCGTCAATTATGTTCTGAAAATTTTTAACAAATGTTAAAGAAATTCGAAGAGAAGTGCGTTGCATATAAAGTTCTAAAAAATTATTCGGTACATTAATTATTTAATGTTCACAGAATTTTCAGAGTTACCACATCCTTGTGAGTTTCTAATGAATTCCCTATGAACGTTTATAAGTTCTGTAATTTCTGAGAGATTTCCTATATATTTACCGATAATAACGGATAATTTTTCTATATTAAATAGCATATCAAAACACTTCTATCCACTATCTCTTCGGTAATGTGTACTTTAACTGTATTAATCGAGTAAGAAAATAGAAGAAAGATCTTTAAAATATAACTTTATTCCAATCTATAACATTTTGTTCAAAATTACTAATTGTCAAGGAAACAAATTTTGGCCGTAATAAAGAGGTCGCTACCAACAACCATCTAGTGCCACGTAGAAGAACTAGAGCATTCGATCGTTACTGATCTTCCTAGTTTAGTATTTGGTTAAGGTTCATATATTTGAGCCCCACCCTAAGTTTTATTTTAAATATCATACATAATATAACAAATAAATCATGCTGTATAAATCACTAATAAAATTTTGCGCCAGTTTTATATAAAGTTATCACAGTAATTATACTTAAAAAATTGATAAAACATCATTCTTTTATCATCGATATTAAAAAAAGAAAATAATGTGATATATCAAAGTACACGTTGATCTTTTATTGAAGACACTATTTTTAATTCCATATATATATATAAAATATAGTATAATAAATAATAATATAATAAAATAATAATATAATTCCAATATATATCTGTATATATGTATATATAACAATAATTTTATTACTGCACAATAATTTTTAACGTATAATAAACATAGTGTTTACATGTATATATTTAAATCATGAACTTAGGAATTTATGTTCAAGTCTATATTAATACTTACAGATAAAATTATAAATATAGATAAATATATCATAACTAATAAATGAAAATTTAGAAAAAGCTATTGAAAGTAGATCTTATCCTGATAACCGGATCGTCCTCTAATCAGAAATTTCTATAATCATAAAATTAACAGTTAACTTAAAAATAAATCAATCTAACTCAATAAGTCAATTCTTCCAAATATAAATATGATATAATTCATTTTCAGCAGAAATAAAACAACGCACTAAAAATATAACATTCATAAGTAAAGAAATTATTGTATCTAAGAGATTAAAAATTTAAGTAACGAATTAACTCGACTTTACCGGTTAACAGGTTAACGAAGAATTCGTTTCATAAAAAACGTTCATAAAAATTCGTTTCAGAAAAATTAAATATTTTTTTAATTATTATTTAATAATCTGCGAAATCGATTATCACACTTTCTATGAGATTATGTAGCTATTATTTTTACAAGTAATCAATACTTTCAAATATTTAATTATTTTACTTTTGCTTTCAATAATTTAGATTTAGGAAGAGAACACTACTTATTTTTATAACCTATTATTTATCAACTCCCTCGTTTTCGTAGATACATTATGTAATCTATATTCTCGTGATATATTTAATGAAAATACTACTACTCGTTGCATGCATTGCATAATCCCATTTATTAATCGAATTCTATGTTGCAATAGGATATAATTTCAGAAAAATGCGTGGTATCAGTCTTTCAAAAAATGATCTTGCAACTTGGAAATAGTCTCGGTGGTTTCGAAAGAGTTAAAATGTGTGAAAGATATTGCAAACAGCGGAATAAGTAAAAGTTAGTCAAAGTTTGGAATATACGTAGCAAGACTTTAACCCCAATCTAGATTAAAAATTATTTAAAATAATACATTGAATAGTGTACACCACCAGGAAGGTAACAAACAGCATTTAAAAGCGGTTATGAAAATATTTTAAAAATTAAATAAATAAATAAATAAGCATGTTGAAAATGCAAAATTAATAAAAATATTCGGTAACGATTGCGCTATATTTAAAAGGATATTTTAACCCGAGCAAAATGATGAGAACTCTTAGTGTGCAATGCGCACACGCCGTTTACTCGGGGCACCGGAACATACCTAGCTTTTCCTGAAACGGTGTACACAGAAAACCGCGTGGCTGTGAACAGTGAGCAAAGCGCAAGCCAAGGCAACGAGGCAACGCCGCGTGGCCGACCAGCTGATCGGCCAGAGACATGCGACTACACGGGGCAGAGAGGGAGAATCGTGCGCGACTGGGCTAATGAGCGTGCGACCTATTGGGAGTTCATTGGAGGGGGCTAAGGCAACACATGGAGGGGAAAACAGTGGTTCCGTCCATGAAAGAGTGGGGGTAGTCATTGCTGTGTTGCCGTCACGTCGAACATTGCTGGCTGTTGTCGCCACTGTTTTCTACAATCGAATGGCATTGCAAGGTCTAGGAGCTAAACGTGTATCTACCTTCACTTTATTTTTTTACGTTAATGTGCTCTTGAGCTCTTTCCTATTTTTCATGCTTATATTTATGCCAAGATGTCTATACATGTCACGTGTACCTCTTAAATTGTTAAAATTTAATATCGAAGAGGATGTTCATAATATCCAGAAATATTATAACATTTTATCAAGACATTTATTTTATTTGAAAGGTATCGAGACTACTTCGAAATCAAAGTGTTTTTCGAATATCTAGAAATTCCCTTATTCATTATGCTAATCGTACGTGCTATATTTATACTAATCTTTTAACCAAATGTTAGATTAATTATGCAATTAGCTATGTGATAAAATAATCGAAACATCTTTTAAAGATATACTATATTATTTTATTATCGAAATATTCTTGTTAAACCACATTAATTTATGAATTTCTTGAGTTTAATAGTTTTTATTACAAATCTGATTATTATAAAGAATCACGTATGCTTAAATCTAATATCGAACACGTGGTGAAAATACTTCAACACAAATTCTATTTCGAGAAAGCGAATTTTTGAGAACGAACTGTACGTCCATTAAGTAAATATGCTAGAACTATTCAGTACATACATCGAAAAATGGAAACACTGCGTTGATGCGATGTTGTCACAGTATCCGAAATATTGCAACGTTGCTCCTTGTCTGAGTATCACATCGATAGTATGAGGTATATACTTCTATTTCGTCGTCTTGTTCAACTGTGCCGTCAGAAAACAGAAGACACGCATAAACGCTGACACTATTTTAGTAATGATTTCCGCACTTCGATATTTCATAATTTTATCAAAGTTCGCAATTGTAATAAAAGTGATAACAATAACAAAAGTGATATAATCTCAAATCACGATATCAAGTGCGCACAATATCAAGTTGTGTATAATGAAATAACTAACATATTAAATTACAAAAAAATATGTATCATAGTAATCACAGATATGCGAATATAAAATCGCTCAAAAACATTCTTCTAAATATGAACACACAAATAAGACATCACAACAATTTTTAATCGACAAATTGTACTAATAATGTATCCAGATGTGAGCAATTAGTAAACGATCGTGAAAATAAAATGAAAACTAAACACTATGATAAATAGTATAGAACCGCACTATACACTGTAAAAACGCGATTACATAGCAAGAAACACTGCGTGATTCAACCTAAACCTATTATGCGTTCTCGCCAGGCCGCTGGTCTGACCAGTTATGTTCGTTCGTCGAGCCGTCATCTCATACGTACGCTTCGTTCTTTCAATCCCCACCACTAGGTCTACATCTCGCTAATACGCCCTCGCACTGGCTGAAACACACGTCGGCACGGCGTATTTCAGGAGCGTAACTAGTAGAATCACTGCGAGGGCGCTCTGTTCTTCTGATTCCGAGGCAGGTGCCACTCTCAATACACGATACTTAATACGACTATGCAAGTCAGTACAAGATCCTACGAAATAAAACAATGTTGCAGCTAACTTCAAGCGTGCTTCGACAGGTTTATATATACGCATTAGGTATGTACTTTTGCCAACATTGAGTATCTTGACATTTCATTATTACAATACCGAAATTTTATTGAGAGATTTATATGCCATCGGAAAAATTTTTCAAATGCTTAGTGGTTTTCAAATACGTTATCATAATATAATGAACACATGTAAAAAAATTTCTTGACATAATTTTTAAAATCCTATATTTATTATAAGAACAATAATATAATAATTAAATAAGCGAAGGATGAAAATGAGGAGGAAGTAATAAATAATATGTATTTATGCACAGGCATATTGTATTATATATAAAAGAGTACTACGCCACCGTAATATATACAGTTTAATACCTACTTTTGATTCATGTTAGCGACATTAAAAAATGAACATATGCGTATATTACTTCGAAAAAAACATTTTGCTCCATATTTCTTAGATACATAGTGGATATTTATTATATAGACGTATCTGATTTGGTCGATACATAAAATTGAACACCTAATACTGTAATGTATTTGACTGTACGACACAACGTCACAAGGCAAATTACTGATCACGTATAGGGTACAGCACACCCTTTGCACGCCGTAGTGGCACAGCTACACTTCGCCACATCGATTTTACCGGCTCGCTTGCACTCACACTCGGTCGACCCGTTCACTGAAGGAATGTCTCATATGCCTCCCTCCGACTCCCTTTTCCTCCCCTTTACCTCTCCTGACCCTACCCCTACAAAACCTCTCCGTCACTCAGTTAGCTCTCTTTCTAACTTGTCCTCCATCCCTTTCCACCAAGCTCGCCAACTTCTGCTTGCCCTCTCCTCCTCCTCCTCCTCCTCCTCCTCCTCCTCCT